GCCTGGTGAAGGCCTAATCACATGGACACAGCTGGAACCAATGTAGATCATTCATTAATAAAACTGAATTGTAGTAGCCACTTTTTGATGCATTTCAATTGCTGCTGTAGCCAAATCTCTGAATTTCTTTGTTTGCTTGTTTGTTGAATTTCTTTGTTTTAATGGGAAATACAGGAAGATTTAGGGCAGAGGAAAAAGGAAAAAACAAAAAAACAAAACAAAAAAAAAACCACCCTGCTCTCATGCTAAAACTGAGACTAGCTCAAAAAGCTAAATGTCACTTTACCTTGCAATGTACTTACACTATCAGCAGCTTAAAATATGCAGTGTAAACCTGAAAAGGGGGGAACTCATATGGTACTATGGATAAAAAGTGAGCAGTGTGAGATGCCACAGAAAACATATGACATACTTGTGACAGTATTCTACGGAATGATAATATGTCGGGCAGGGGGAATTAAAATGTATCAAAAATTAGAGGGGGAATAAAACAACTGAATTAGCACATACACTTTCATGCAAGAGTCTCTAATGAAATTTAACACTGAAGTGTGTACCATATGCCTAAGGAAAGAGGACTACTATTTAAACTTAGAAATCAATTATCTTACATGTTACCAATATTTGATATTAAACAAAATATTCAAACCACCTAGCCAGGAATAAGGTTCAAAACCTGTATTGATACTCAGATGAAGTAAAACACCATTCATAATTATAAACATGATATTTAATATAATAAAATAAAATCCTAGTTAAAATAATAAATTTAGTATTTATCCAACTTTGCCGGCATCCCTCAAAAAAGCTATTTTTCCATGTTGCTACAAATATGATTAAGTTACTATAGAGTAATTCCTGCAAACTGTGTAACATCAAACTATAAAGATACAGAAGCTTTGATGTGTTCTGAATTAAACAAAACTAAAATTTATTACCTACAAAAATAAACAACTCAATTGCATTTACCAAAACAACAGCAACAACTGCTCAAACACTCAAACATCACAGATCTTAAATATATTTCTACTACGCCTCTGTGCATAGTTAGAATAAACAAATAAATACAACAATTCATGTTGCAATTCCTAAGTCACTGAAAGATATGTTCCTACCGCAGAAAAGACAAAGGGCCTAATTGCAAATAAAAATTATACCACTGGAGAAAATGTATTTAAAGTTGATGCATAGTATTTAATATGCAATGAACATTATTCAAAATATGTGAACACAGAGAATAAGTTTTTGGTCTCTATTTATCACACCTTGGCACAGCGGATTCAAGACAGTCATGCACTTAACGGGACCAAGAGAAAAAAGTTTCACTGTCTTCCCTTCTAAAAAATGTCATAATTCTGAAACATAAAATGTTGACCTAAAGATTTAATTGATATAACTTAACAAGCATCCCACCCAGATTCATCTTAGCTACTTGACAGAAATAGGCACTTAAATACAAGTTTTAAAAAAACAGCATGGGGGGGATAGAGAATTGTAGCATTTACTAACATGTGCATTATACATACAAAGCAATATGAGTATTTGTTTGTTTTGTTAAATTAATGAGCCAATATGTTGCTGAACCTGTCTTGAGAATGAGAGAAAATAACAGGTGAGTTTATTTAATGCATAATTCTCCTATACCTGTCTTACAAACCTTTTTCATGATTTTAAAGCATTTTCTAAATTAAAAATAAATCTCTAGGGGAAAAAAACAACTCTTAGATTGTACAGGTTGATCTTAATGTATCCATAATAGATATATTTCCCAGTGTATATGGCATATAAAAATGCTTCACATTAATACTTCTAACAGGAACCACTATTTACTTTTTTCAGTCACATGTGTTACACTGCTACAAAAATTCATGAGTTTTTCCTCCCCAAGTAATTTTCTTATTGCCAAAAATCATTGACAACTTTTTAAAATAAAAATCAGTCAAAATAATATTAATTGCCTCCTTAGAAAACATATTCTGCCTATTTATTCTTATTTTGATTACAAAACACTAATTTTTAAAATAGACCACTTGAAAGTCAGTCATTTGTTTTTGTTTAATACAACAGAAAACACATTTACATTTTGAGGAACATTCTACGAAATTTCATAGAATGCTTGCTCATAATGAAAACCTAGTCTCCTGCTCAAATCATCACTTAAAAATCATAATGCTACATTTTCACACCCCTTGTAATAATAAGTCACTGTCTATAATTTAGAGAGAGTTGGGAAACCTAAAAACACAGTGTTCTATCTTGCATTTTCATTTCAAAGGAAAAAATTTTAAATACACATCTTTATATTTCACAGAAGTTCATTTGCTCATCTAGCAATACTTATCAGACATTCTAAAAATGAGTATTTAATCTGCAAAAGCTATGAGCTGACCCTGAGTTTTAGACAAAAATAGAAAACAATGGCAGACTTTGGTCTCGACAAGAGATATATTGGCTTAAAGATCCATATAATACAAGCAAGTATCATTCAAGAGTTTCCATTCAAATAATAAGCTATGAAGGAAGACAAGATTCCAACCAATCAAAAATACTATGTCAACATGACCAAAGTTAGCAATATTCAGAAGGGTTTTCTGAAACGTGTGGCAAAAATGCAACTGTGAAGAAAATCTCTAAGAGCTGGAAAAGGGAAATCCAAACACAAGCTTCTAGAAGGAACAATGCCATTTCGTAAACATGGAGGTTGGGAGGAGAATGATGTTTCTATTTAAGAAATATTGTTTGTGTCTTTTTACAATGGTGTTCTACGTGAAGAAAGAGGAAAACGAAGGAAAAGAAATGGGATAAGGAGGAAAGACTAAGGCTGCTTGCCTTCCTTCAGTGGTGCTGGGAGGGTAGACCCTCTGCCTCACGAAAACCACTGCCAGAACCAAGCTACACAAAACATTTTGGCTGCCAGCCTAGAACAGTGCCAGGCTGTTTTTTATTTTGTGCTAGACTCCCTCAATTGAGACAGTGTGGGATTGTCACTTTGATGCATACAGAGAACAAAGAATAATATAGCACGGGGCAGGGGGAGGTGGATTTTTCGCCTCTTAAAGTCAGGTTAGCATTTTGTTATGTTTGACAAGTCCTAAAAAGACTCAAGAAACAAAAGTTATGCTGAAGAATCTATCATTTGCCTAAAGAAATTAGCTTGAGTACAACATTGTCAGCAGTTGAAAGGCACATGAGAGATTAACATTTTTTAAAAATCAGACTTAAAAGGGGTCCAGGTTACATACTTACCTGTTTAAGAAGCCAGAGACCAAGCAGTATGTGATTCACAATCACATGATCTTGTCTAAAATCTGATAGATGAAGGAAGTCCATAAAATCAGGTAAAAAAAAAAAAAAAGAACTAATCGAAGTGTTATAATTTTTAGGCCACTATTCAGAGGCAACTGTGTCAGCTGTAATTCTGACCTTGATTTCTCCAAATTTAAATAATCTGATTAAGGGATTATAACAGTAGAATCAGAATATTTTATGCCTTTACAAGGAAAAAGGTGATAAACGATCAAAAATGTTTAAAGGATTAAACCACAAATCATCTAGAAAGTTGCCACAGACACAAACAGGAAAACCGTCCCTTCTATCCTATTCAATTCTGTACTAGAAGCAAAGCTAACACAAATGAGAAAGCCAAGTGTGTGCTGTTGGAAGCCTCAACTAAATATACTACCTGAATCTGGTGACTAAAAACACCAATAAGCCATTAGCTCCTAGAGGTATGACCCTTTTCTCTCTAATGCACAAGATAAGTAGAGGTAGAAGTCCATTTTCTACAAACCAAATGAAAAGAAAAAATAAACTGGGACAAGCCCAGATCCCATGCTGGCATATTTTACACTAAGCTCAGCATCATCTAGAAGCAAGAGTTGTGAAACTAATACAGCAGTGATGAATAGCACCAAAGGTCCACTAGTCCCTTCCTCCTGCCCATCTCCACTGAATCGGCTGCTAAAAGAAGACCAACGACTGTTACAGAAATAGCAAGAACTAAAGCACTTGCCTCAGATGTTACACACAGAGGCGCGAAGTGTGACCACCTAAGCCTATCTAATTTCCAACAAAATGATCCCCTGCCCCGTTCCGCTCGTGGCCACAGATTCTGAGAGCAAGTCATCAATGTTGGGAAAGGCAGTGGGAGAGGGAGAATGTAGAAAAGAAACCGGGTGAGAACGGTGGCCAAACCTCAAACAACACACGGTACATGCTTCTCATTATTCAAATTAGTGCCGTGCACAACCCTTTGGGAGGACAAAACCTGTGATAAACGTTTCAGGTACAATGATTTACTCTGGGTGGCAAGGACCGGTCTGTCATAGAATCGAAAAATGCATTATTTTGCTCCTCACTGTTCTCCTTTCCCATTTCCTTTCTTCCATCTGGGATATACCGATGATGCTATCACTGCATGGGACACTGATAGTTGTAGGCAAGGCATTCATGTCTTGTCAAAGTGGTCCAAAGACTGATGCCTGGCTGGCTTTAGTTCAACAAGGAATCTGACACAAAACCAGGAAGTAAAAAGAACGAAAGGTGTAGAAGAAGCCAGGCGACAACATGTTTTTTCTGTTTATTAGTGATGCAGATGAAATAGGGGGAAATCTAGAAAAAGCCGCCAAGCTGACTGAATTACAAAGAAAGATTAAAGGAGTTAAATGTGTCTAACTTGGCTGACAACCAAGGAACAATATGAGAGCTGTCCACAACTCTCCAAAGTATAATACATAAAAAGAAGAGCAGGGAATTTTTATCTGCTATAGAAGTGTGAATATATGAAATAATAATGAGATAAAATTAAAATAAAGAAAACTGACTTCAAGCAGCAGACGAAGTAATCTGGTAAAACTTAAGAATGGTTGCTTCCTTCTCTTTAGAAATATTTGTCATCTCACTGACCCACCCTGCAGTAAAGAAGAGATGATAGGAAATGGCCACATACTGACAGAGGACTGAATCAATGGAAAAATTAAAACAAAGTCCCATTTGCTTACCTGATGGTCCAGATATACTGATTTTTCTCCTTACATATATCCAATCTGGCTAATGCAGAGGTACCTATGAGATCAAAGGACATAATTAAAATGTTATCTTCAAAATAACCCCAGCCTGAATTCTGAATCCTGATCTGGATAAAAGTTTATTGAATGACCCAGTAGTCTGATTCTTGGATATTCCAAGATGGGAGAAGAACCTCCAAGGAGAGAGATGTTTTGAGTCTTAACTAGTAAGACCTTCCTCCTGCCCCCACCAATCTTTCCAAGGTTTCCCAAATCAATTCTAACTCAAAAACAGGAAGAAGAATTCAGATTAGAGGTCCTTAACCCTGGTATGTGGGTGAACTTTAGGAGTCTATGCACTTCTGAATGATATATGTAAAATTTGTGGGTTTATGTAAATGGATGTCTCTCTGGAGAGAAGGTCAATAGTTTGTCAGATTTGCAAAAAGTTCCATAATCCAAAAAACTGTAAAGAACCTCTACTGAGGACAGTCTAAGATCTCAGAGCCAGGTTGGAATGCATATGGATAATCAGTCCAGGTCTGGGGTTTTCACTCCAGGGAAACAATGGAGGTACACAGACACTTCTGTATCTCTATCTGTATAAGAACACTACTTTCTGTGAGAGCATCATGTCAGATTTAAACTGTTACTTAACTTACACAGCCCTGTGTTCTCTGCAAGCCATGCACAGTGAAGAGAGCAAGCTCTTACCATATACCCAAGGGTAGATATTGTGACTTTCCTGTTCTGTAAATATTAAAGTCAGAATCCTTAGGTATATCAATATTGACAGGGTCAAGACTAACATAGTAACTCACCCAAAAAGGATCCTATATGACAAGCAAAAAGGAAAAGCTAGCAAAGCAATAAGAAATGTGGCTCCCAGACAGACTACATAGCACAAAATCATAGGATTACCAAATGCATCTCTTAAGAGAATTATCCTAAACAGTGGTTAGAGTCCGAATAACCTATATCAGAAAGAAATCAAGATGGAGAACCTTCCAGGCACCAACTATGAACAAGACAAAAACAGTTGCAGCCATAGAAAGAATCCTGAACTGGAATGTCACCAAAAAAGAACAGAAGAAAAAAAAAGGATAAAAAAGATAAGGTAAAGGCTGAGAAGACGTAAGTCAAGTAAAAGGAGAAAACAAAACAGAACTTCTGAGATGGCCTGTTACAAATAATGTATATTATTTATACACTTATAGTATATTTTCTTGAAAAATAATTCCTTTAGACATTCATCCCCTGAGCATCTACCAGGCACTGCACTGGTTGTTGGGAATTCAGCAGCGAACAAGACAAAATTTGCCTGGCCAGGAGTTTAATTTTGGGAAGGGGAGGAAGGATGCAGGGAGACATATACATCAGCAATATCATTTCAATACATGATATGAAAGAAATAAGATGATGTGACCGAGGCATGGGAGAATGCCCTACATCTATCTAGTATGTCACAGAGATGTTCGCTCCAATTCTCGAAGTTAGTCAGGGTCTTAGGGAATGGAGACTGAGAAAGGACCACAGGGACAGCTAGTCAAACCTCTTCATTTCAGAGACTAGGACTGGAGAGCTATTCTGGAAGACAAAGTATCAGCACCTCATTATCTCCAAACATCAAAATACATACACCTAGACTGAGTTATGATTTTATGATACTGGATATCAGTACTCTGGTACTCTGCCTTGAGAGGAGAAAGCCTGAGAACAAGTAACTGAACAGCATTTCTGAATCTTTTAAAAAACTGGCAGATCCCGTGCACTTTGTAACCTTAAGATGTAACACAGAACCACATTCTATCCAAATTCTTGGCAAGTTTCATTCTATTTTTTTTTTAAGTCGTTTTTCCCTTCTACAGACAAATTTGATCCATCTCTGCTGTTAAAGGAAGGCAGGCAGGGGGAATGTGGGGAGGCATGGTAGCCAATCTCCAAGAGGGCCCCCAAATCCTCACCTTCTGAAATTCATGACTTTGGTAGTTCCTTCTCACTGCATGAGGGCTGGTTTGCATGAAAACCAGAATGCCCTGGAAGTGACGGTTTTTGACTTCTGAGGTTAGGTCCTAAAAGATACTCGAGCTAACTCCTTGCCCTCTTGGATCACTCACTCTGGGTAAAGTCAGCTGCCACATCATGAGGACAAACAGTTCTATGGGGCAGTCCACATGGCCTCTTGCCAAACCACCAGAATCCACTCAACAGGGTTATGTGTGAGCCATCTTGTAGGTGAATCACCCAGGCCACTCAAATCTTCAGACGACTGCTACCCTGGGTCAATCTCAACTCTAATTCATGACAGATCAGAGCCAGAACCACTTAGGCTGCATTCTACCTCTAGCATGTTCTCTAGCTTCCTCCAAAGCTAAAAACTCCATTTCCCAGATGCATTTGCATCATGCCTTCTATGGGACCTGGATTCAAACAATCAGAAAAATCCATGTAAGACTTAGAAAACAGGAGTGAATAAGTCAAGGTGGTGACCACCTCCAGTGAGATCAAATCTTACAGTGAAGGCATTTTGTTCTTCTGAGACAATCAGCTAGATAATCTTAATTAAATGATCCCTAGTATCACAGGTTCCCAAGTAGCAAGTGACAGTGGATTTTCTACTAAAACAGTGTAACTGGATGTTTCCCTTGGCTTATGCTGTTCCTAGCTTATTAATAGTCAAGGTTAGTTCCTTGGCACTTTTGTTAATTGAGTGTAACATATCCCTTTTTGCTTAAACTAGCTAGCTGTCTTCAACTTAAATTGTTGCCTACAACTAAGAACCCACTTTATCATATACAAATTCTCCTGTCTCATAACGCTTTCACTCCTCTTTCGTAATTCACCCTCTTCTGTTCCATTACTAATCCCTCTGCCTGTGCACTGAACCCTATCCATTCATGCCTTTCCTAAAAACTCGTTCCATCATTCTCCTTTTCCTCTACCTTCAATCTTTTTCTCTCCACTGGTTCCTTCTCCTTCATGATTAGCACACTTCTTTCAACACTACCAACTATCCTGCCAAGATTCATAAAACAACAACATAGACCCACTGCCTTCACTTGAACTTCCAAGCAATGCTCATACTACCACAATGTGGCTTCCTTAGCCGTCACTCTACTGAAATGGCCATTGCTAAAGTTTGCTAATCATGACCTATTTTCACTCCTCACTCTGCTAGACTGTGGCATTTGGCAGTCCTGCCCACCATGCCTCCTTGAAACTCCCTCCCATTGGTTTCTAGGATGCCACCATCTAGCAGCTCTCCTCCAGCCTATGGGGTGTGTTCCCTATTTTAACCTGGCTCCTTTTCTAGGAAATCCCTAGAGCTTCATCCTTAGGGATATTATGGTTTCATTCTGTCCTTGACTTCAAGATTTCAATTATCATCTCTATATTCATTGATCACTCCCAAACCCAAACCTTTCTCATAGCTCTCTTCATACTATAAACTTACACTTCTGTCTGCCTATTAGATGCATCTAGTTTTATCATTTATTGCAAAATATCATAAAACCCTCCGTAACCTAAGAGGACGAATTTAAAAGCAGTTTATATACTATAACTGTGCTAATACTGTAACCACTAGCCACATGTGGCTGTTGGACACTTGAAATGTGGCTAGTCTGAACTGAAATGTGCTGTTAAGTGGAAATATACACAATAGATTTCAAAGACTTACTGCAAAAATAAGAATGTAAAATAGCTCAATAATTTTATATTGGTTACATGTTGAAATGATAAGAATTTAGATATCTAAGGTTAAGTAAAATATATTAACAAAATTAACTGAATTTCTTTTCATTTGTTTAATGTGGCCACTAGAAAATTTTAAATTATTGCATTACAATTCTATTGAACAATGCTGCTCTACACACACACACAAAACAACACTATAAAAAAAATACACACTATTCTCAACCAACAAGGAAAGGAAAGAGAATTGATTTTTTTTTAATATTCAATCATCCTCACATTCAAAACTTACTATTTTATCTTGATAGCTTATACATTCATCCCTACTATTTAAAAGAAAAGGCTATATCCTGGAATGAAGATTTGTTAAGGTTCCTTAAAATATATACAAACATATTTAAAATTATGATGTTAAAAATGCTAAACTATATCCTATAAAAATCAAATATAATCACAACTGTATCATAAAAATACAAATAGCTAACATCTGATAGGCACTATGCAACAATGTTATATAATTTAATTATCACATCTCTAAACTAGATATTGTTGAACAAAGCAAGAAACCTAAGCAGAAAGAAGTTAAGTAACTTGCCCAAGGTCATGTTTTTAGGCCTCAAACCAGGCAATCTGGCTCCAGATCCCATACTCTCAATCATTACCTTTTGCTGACTCGATAGAAGTAAAATTTAAAAGAAAACAGTCTCAGATGGTTCGCAGCACTCTTAAACTTATACATTCAACTAGGATCAGGAAAAAAAAAAAGTCAAATAAAACCAAATATGAATACAAATATAAAAGCTCACAGAAAATGGAAATTTAGAAGTAAAACTAAGTGAGTGGAGGAGAGTATAAGGAAGGAATAAGGAAAGAAAACACAAGGGAATATGCTCTGAGCCCAGGATGTACAAATGAGAATTCTTCAAGAAGAAAGCATTACTCTGTGGACGTGAAAACAGTAAGGGCTTCAGAAACACCGCATGCCCACTGATGCTACACAGCAAAGGCAGAACTTGACGCATACCCATGGAACCTCCCAGAGACTCGCATGTAATTCTGCTTCACAAAGTGCAGGGGTGGGAGGTGAGGGGCAGATCTTAAACTAATGTCAATTTATAAAAAGCTAAGAGAAATAATTCATACCTGAATGAGGCTATATAGCCTATATTTTTAAGTGAAGTTTGGCATTTTTTAAAAAAACTTCCAAAATACAATGTTCACAAGGTAAGTATATAAATCAACATGTGAACAAAAATAAATAAGTAAATAGATTATATATGTCTACATGTCTCTAGAAAGATACACACACACACACACACACACACACTGATTAGGTGTGTATAAAGAAAGTATTAAGGGACCACG